TCTCTCTCTCTCTCTCTCTCTCTCTCTCTCTCTCTCTCTCTCTCTCTCTCTGTCTGTCTCTCTCTCTCTTTGATTTCTTTTCTTCCAAGAAATGTTCCAGTCTCCTAAGAAACCACATTTAAGTAGCTTCTATTTTATTTTCACTATCATAACATTGTTCACCATTTAAATTCAGTTTTGCGGGTTGTTGGCGGGTAGTCTCAAGTGGTTTGCTTCTTCTTTCCTATCAAATATCTATCATCCTGGTCGCTCCTACTTTTGTGTTTGTTACTCTCTTATCTCTAACTCTCGACACTTATATGACCTTATTGTGTTCTAAGTGCACTAAAACTCTTGCTAAAAATAGAATGAAAACTTCATCCCTTCCCTGTCGGTTGTCCAGGTGAGAATGTTTGCCCCGGAGGATAAAATCTACATGGGCAGCTACGCGCTGGAGGCGGCGGTCACTGTACTAGAGCGGTACAACACGTTCTTTGGAGTGCGCTACCCCCTGCGGAAACTAGGTGTGTATGTATTGTTGTGATGATAGAGAGAAGAAAGATATTTCAGATACGACACGTTCTTTGGAATATGTTACCCTCTACCCAAGTTAGGTGTGTATGTAATTGTTGTGATGACAGAGAGAAGAAAGATGGTAAAGATATGACACGTTCTTTGGAATATGTTACCCTCTACCCAAGTTAGGTGTGTATGTATTGTTGTGTTGATAGAGAAGAGAAAAAAGTTAAAAATACAACAGGTTTTTTTGGAGTGCGTTACCCTCTTCCCATAGAAGGTGTGTTTGTATTGTTGTGTTGATAAAGATTTGTAAATACATGTATTCTATGTGTTTTTACCTGTGTGTCCAGGCTTTAGAGAGTAGGTGGCTCGTGAGTTCTCAGGTGTGGTTCTCTCCTTCTGTCCTATCAACGGTCTATGGTCCTTATCTCTTCCTCTTCTTTTTGTTGTTTGTTTCTCTCAAATAAAACTTCTAGTCGTCAACACTTTTGTGACCTGTGTGTGTTGGAAATGCCATAAGATTTTTTCTTGAACTGAAACAAAACTCAACATCTATCGTCCATATATCTCCTCCCCCTTTCTTTTGCATGGTACACTTTAGTAGTAACGACCCTCATATTCGGCTCTTGTATGGGCTATTTGTGTTACAAGTGCTGTAAAACTTACTAAAACGGAAACAGATCTAGACAGCTATCATGTTTATCTCTCCTGCGTCATTTTTTTTGTATGTTACTCTAGTAGTTAATAATTATGTTGATGGGAGCAGAAAAACACCTACATTTAACCCTATCCATACATCGTGTTTTACTATCGTATCCATACAACGTGAGGAACTCTGTTCCACCACTTTCAAAGGGGAAATTTACTTGTTAAACTGATCCGTACCCTTTGTATAGCAGTCTGTCAAAATGATTTTTTGAGAAATACTGAAAGTTTCAAAGAGATCTTCATACTAGAAGTATTCTAAAATGTGAAGAATACAACCCTGGGGGTACAGAATGACCCCAGGGCGTACGGATAGGGTTTAAAAAATATCATCTCTAATAGTAACACCTTTAACCGTTGGCACTTGTATGATCTATATGTGTTGCAAATGCCGTAAAACTTTTACTGAAACTAATTCTAAACTCTCTGGCAACACCTCTAATCTACGACACTTATACGACCTGTTTATGTTGCAAGTAGTATAAAACTTTTATAGTACTAAAACTTCAAAGACTTTTGGGCCACTTTGTAGTGTATTATCTTATCTCTTACCTGCTCTACTCTGGCGTTGATCAGATGACAAGGACATGTGGTTACTTGAGGGAGACATTGCGCTGCCAAGAGCGAAATGCTCGCAGCTAAAGGGATTTGAAAACAACAACAACAACAAACATCTTATCTCTTTCCTCACAAGATCTGATCGCTATTCCGAACTTCTCGGCGGGCGCCATGGAGAACTGGGGCCTGGTCACTTTCCGCGACACATCGGTGCTCTACGACCCAAGCAAGGACACGGAGGGAGCCAAACAGTGGGTGGCTATTGTTGTGGCTCACGAGCTGGCTCATCAGGTGGGTGTGGCACAGCGAGAGTGCGGGTGTACTCACGGTAAAGTGTGTCGCGACACGGTGGAATCGCGTGCATGTCAATTTTTTTGGTGTATGGAGTTTTTGTTGTCATGTTAAAGTTAGTTCTTTTGTGTTGCAATGTCGTGAAATCAGGCGCTCGTCAAAATAATAAAACTGGGTGGTTGGGGGTTAAACTCTTACCAAACAAAAAATTAAAGATGAAAGCGCAGAAACTGACTTTTTCCCCGCAAATTTTTAATGAATTTTGCTTTTGTTAAAAAAGCTCAACACCTGTCATGTCCATTAAAAATCCAATTATTTTTGGATTTTACTTTAAAAAATATTATCAAAGGCACAAAAAATGTAAATTTGCAGTTATAAGGACACTCAAAGTTTGGCAGCCAAATCCTTGCTAATTTTACCTCTGATCTCCACCTGTCATGTTTCTTTCCTTGCTATTTTTCTTTGTATGTTACTGTCTTAGAAAACATCTAATCTTTGGCACTTGTATGACATATTTGTGTTGAAATTGCCGTGCGGGTGGTTGGCGGGTAGTCTGGTGTCGTTTGCTCCTTTCTTGTCAAACATCTATCGTCCTGATCTCTTCTCCTCCTTGTTTGTGTTTGTTACTCTCTTGTAACACCTCTAAGCTTTGGCACTTATATGACCGTACTCTGTTGCCATTAGTGCCGTTAGACTCTCATGAAAACTAAATGAAAGTACTGTAAATTTCTTCCCTTGAGACAAAAAAAGCTTCCTGGTTTTTGTATCATCTTTGTCCTATGTCTGTGTCTGGCAGTGGTTCGGAAACCTGGTCACCATGGAGTGGTGGGATGACCTGTGGCTTAACGAAGGTTTCGCCTCGTTTGTCGAGTACATCGGAGCTGACACGGTGGACAAGGAGTTCCGTATGGTGAGTCAAGCCAGATGCCATCCTTTCTCTCTCTGTCTTTTTGTCTCTTTTCAGGTTTCTCTCTGTCTCTCTCTCTCTCTTTGTCTCTCTCTCTCTCTCTCTCTCTCTCTTTCTCTTTCTCTCTTTCTCTCTCTCTCTCTTTGTCTCTCTGTTTCTGTCTCTGTCTCTCTCTCTGTCTCTCTCTCTGTCTCTGTCTGTCTCTCTCTCTCTCTCTCTTTCTCTCTCTCTCTGGAAAAGTGTGACTATTATTGTAACCATTTACTACAAACAGAAGTTTCTTTCTTTTTTCTTTTTATTGTACAATCTTATTTGACATTTTTCTTCCCCC